GAGAGCCGCGAGGCCGCGAGTCTGGCGGAGGGTGCGAGAGGGTGGCGGTAGCGAAGGTGGTGGTGGCACAGGGAGGAAGGACGAACGAAAGGAAGGAAAGAAGGAAGGACGGAAGGAAGCAACGGAGGAAGGGCGAGAGAAGGACGCGCGACCAGAGGAGGACCGTAGCGTACAGTAGTCGTAGAGTCCGAAGCCACGTGATCGGAATAGTCGATTCCATCCTCTCTTTTCCTCCCCTTCCCCGGTCCCGCTCTCGACCAATCTCTCCCTCTTGCCTCCCTGCCCCTTACCCCCCTCCCCCGCGCGCGCTCGCGCTCGCACACACACCACCTACTCTTGCCCCCGTTCCGCCGCTATTCGTCGCCACCGCCACCCACGCCCGGTCGCGTGGATACGTGGTCGAACCGCCGCGAGGACACGGTATAATTATCGGATGGCAGGTAACTCGAACGCTCTCGCCCAGTTTTAATTGGCCAATTATCGTGGCGCGAATAGACGGTGCCGCCGGTCCAGATAGGCGTGAAACTTTTGGGGTGGCCTGCTCACCGAGCGACACAACGCGACTTTCTGTGACGAATATCTCTTGGCAGGGTAGGGTGCCGACGGAAAAGGGGTCGCTCAGGCGCGGGGGAGGGTGGCGAAGGGCTCAAGGGTGGAGGACAGGTCGGTCGAGAGAAAGAGAGAAAGAGAGCGGACCCAGTATGGAGTAGGCAGGAGGGAACCAGGGCGACATGTGCGCGGGTGAGAAGGGGTGCATGGGCATCGAGAAGGGAAGATCGAGGCGCTCGCCTCGCTCGTCGATGTATGTGCGCACGTTTGCGAAGCTCGTCCACGTGCGCACGTGTGCAGCTATGCGTGTGCCGGACGAGTGGTGGTGGTGGTGGTGGTGGTGGTGGTGGTGGTGGTGGTGGTGGCGGTGGTGGTGGTGGTGGTGGTGGTGGTGGCGGCGGCGGCGGCGGTAGCAGAGAATCGGGATCAGAATCGGGAGCACGAACGGGCGCAAATTGGTCACGGCTGGTCTGTCCGATCTCTCCCTGCCGTGCGAGCGAGCGCGCCCCACCTTCCTGGAGAGAACCCCTTCCGCCTCACCTCGACCCCCTGTGCTCACCCTCGATCGCTCTATCATGTCGCCCTCCCCGGCTCCCTCCCGCCTCTCGTTCGCTCGTCGTCGCGCACTGTCTCCCGCTCGTTTGCTATCTCTATTTCTCTCCCTCCCTCCCTCTCTCTGCGTCTATCTCGCCAAATAGCTAACCTACCGACTCGCGTACAGCTCTTCGGAAACTATTAGAGAACCCCGAGCTAAACCCACGTCACTTTGGCAGGTGGAGTGATCCACCGGCTCGAGGCTCACCTGCTCCATAATGACACGGGAGCTGGAGAGGACAGAGGGGGTGCCATCAGCGCTGCTCATGATATCGATGATGATCGACAATAGGATGATCACATTGTGGCGTGATACTCGCGTGTAAAGGAGCGACGATTAATTGACGCGCGACCAGATTATTCTCTCTCTCTCTCTCTCTCTCTCTCTCTCTCTCGTCGGAGTTACGGTTCTCGTTTGGCATTACGTCGTCGGGCTGAGCCACGGGGGGAGAGAGCGGGGGGACGGAGGGGCGGAAAGAGCGCGGAGAGACGAGCGACAGGTTTAGGCACCTGGACCAGGGCAGTGCGCATTGGCGCGCGTTACATTAGCGGGCTGAATTATTAATGAAGTTTTGGCGTACTACAAATCGAGTGGCAAACACTGCATGCATAGGGAACGCACCGCAAATGACCTCGATCCATCGTGCGCGACGCTTACCAAGCACATTAATACTTTATCTTCCCGCGGTGGTTGAAACGTTAATTTGCGAAAATGCCGTGTTGATGCACGCGCATCTGAAAATTTCCAGCAGCCATCGATCGGATTTCGCACGTGTGCGAAAAATTCTCGCGCGCGGTCTCTCATGTTCCTTCAAGTATTCATCTTGAAAAGCTCGACGCGACGAGATCGATTTCATAACAGCCAGCCCGGTATTACATCTCTCTCTCTCTCTCTCTCTCTCTCTCTCTCTCTCTCTCTCTCTCTCTCTCTCTCTCTCTCTCTCTCTCTCTCTCTCTCTCTCTCTCTCTCTCTCTCCTCGACTCTTGAAACGATAAAATCGCACCGTCGTTAATTAATAGACATTCTCAAGTCGCTAGGCTATTCTTTCTCTCGCTCGATCGCGATTCCTGCCAGCGTCGAGACGGAAAAATAGACGTGTAACTAACAAGAATCAGTCCCTCGGACGACGTCAGGTAAATAGGCCCTAAGTGACGCGAGTAAACTGGCGCTCATTTGTTCGCGGGTAATTGACATCGAGTTTAGAAACGACGTTTCCAGGAACGTCGGTGGCGTCGCGAGAAGCGGTATTTTTGCAAACGTCGCGCAGCTCGTGAATTATTACGTTCGTTCGTTTACGTGACAGGATGGAATGAGAAGCACGACTACTTTTGCCGGATACTGCTATTTTCCCGCGTTGCGGCGGGCCTGGTCGAAAGTTGAAGACAGAAAGAGAGAGAGAGAGAGAGAGAGAGAGAGAGAGAGAGAGATCGAAAACGAGAAGGAGTGCAGGTTGATTTCGCCGCAGATTTCGCGAGTACTTCCGTTTAGTCGCTTCGGCTTTGCTGCGAAATGTCACTTTTAACAAGGAGGCTAAGATTTTGATGAAGCTCGTTAAATTCGCCGAGATCCGCCAGCGTACACGCGCACACATGTAAAGCGCACACGAGCGAGCGCGCGGCTAATAAAACGGTCGGACCTGATGAACAAACGGTCTATTATCGCATTAACCATGACGGCCGCGATAATTAGTTTTCGCGAAACACGATAACACCGCGCGATACCTCCTCGTGCGCGCAGTTACCTCGCTAACCCAATGACGAGGCGGTGCAATTGAGGATTAGTCGAGCTTAATCGAGACAGTCGACTAACGTGACGTCTTCTTCGCGACTCTGCGACTTCGCGCCCCGGCACGAAAGCGCCGCCCGCACCTTCCCGCTTAAGCCATGGTGCGTACCCGCGCGCGCGATCAACTTGATCAACTATAAAACTATTCCATATAAAACTATTCCAAGCTCAATCACATTTTCAATCGCTCCGACAAAGCGATCGTACACTCGAAACGCTCAAAAGCCCCGTCGCGTCGCACAGGGCCGCCCGCGATCGCAGCCGTTTATCTCTAAACGCGACACCGGGACAATGCACAACGGCGATCATTAAAACTATCGAAACGCCGCACCACCACCGTCGCTATCAATCGCCTCTTCCCACCCTGCCCCCATCCGGCCGCGCAGCGTCACAATCTTCCGGCAAAGCGTATGTATCTTTCCAATCTCGTCAATTTCCTGGAAAGAATCGATCACCGCGACAATAGCGCGGCGTCAGTCTCACCGAACAATTGGTCCCGAGCTAATTCGATGATGATCGAGCAGGAGGAGCGAGGGTGGCGGCGAGGGTGGCGCTGCGAGGAGAGACGAGCGAGAGAAAGAGGGTTGACGACAGCGCGACGAGGACAGCGTGCTGCTGCAGAGAGGAACAAGGAAGTCCAAAGACCACGAGAGGGAACGGGGAATGGATCGACGGGGGTTGTTGACGCAAGCCAGAGAGAGAGAGAGAGAGAGAGAGAGAGAGAGAGAGAGAGAGAGAGAGAGAGAGAGAGAGAGAGAGATCGGTATTGCAGACGCACCCGCCGGTTACATTCGATTGGCTGGCAGGGCGGTAGGCCAGCAATTACCTAAATGGTCGGGTAAACAATATCCGTGCGCCGAGTTAAGAGCGAAGCGATAGCAGCGGCAAGCAACGCGCGGCGGTGGCAAGGCCGGCATCAGTAGCGGCAACAGCAACAGCAATTGTCGCATCAATCCGTCGATCGGTCGGTCGATCCAGTCGGTCGGTCGGTCGGTCGGTCGGTCGGTCGGTCGATCTCATCGTACCGACACCACGCTGCGTCGTGTCCGCAGAAGAGAGACGAGATACCTGTGCGGCGCGCCGTGTACCGAGCTACCTATCACGATTATACACCTCCACCCCCGTGCACGAGAGATCGCTATACACGACCATTGGAGAGGACACGCGATGCGCCGCCCCCTACCGCCGTCGACACACCGACGATCATCGCTAAAACCCCACCGATGTTTCGCGATCGCGTATAATACACGCGCGGGGCGAGCGTACCATTCCGCCGTACACGTCCTACCTATATCCACTACCTACCACCCTTCCAGCCTGCCTTCCTTACGCAACGAGACGCCACGTTGACGCGCGTGGCCTCCGAGGGAAAGGTGTTCCTTCATCGACGCCGTTCGCCCCGATGCTGTGGTGGTTAAATCAAAGACAAACCACTTTAGCCGGTCCGATCGCGGAAAGAGGGCGGGCTGACGCCGGCATCCCCGGCCGCCGAGGGGGCGGGTAGACGAGGGGCTGGCGGGGGACCTGTGGTACCTGTGTGTACACACCCGAGTATCTGGCGAAAGCTCCCCGCGAAACGTCCGCGCGCCGGCCCGTCCGCGTGTTCGTGCCGCGTCCATTCAAGCCACGACGCGGGGGTGGTGTGCGTTTACCACCGTCGAATGAGTGTGTGTGTGTGTGAGTGTGTGTGTGCTCACACGTGTGGGCTGTGTGCACACGCGTATATATGTGTGTGTGTGTGTGTGTGTGCGCGCAGCGATGCGCACGCAAAACCACCACCCCACTGCCAGCACACCGATATACGAGAGCTCACACAGAGAAAGAAAGAGCGAGAGCGAGAGCGAGAGCGAGAGAGAAAGAGAGAGAGAGAGAGAGAGAGAGAGAGAGAGAGAGGCGACGGCGTTCTCTCGCGCGATGCGGTCGGTTACGAGCGTGTTTAAGCACGTGTGTGCGCGCAACCCCCGCGGAAAGCTGCCAACCGGCACGCCCATTGGAGGCCGAAGGGAGCTTTTTGGGTAGTTCAAGCGGGGTTAACCACGCCCAGCCGAGGCGGAACAAACACCCCCGCTTTCGGCGTTCCACTCGGACCCACGGTGCCTCCGCGCGCGACGGCTCCTCTCCGCGCCGCTAATAATACGCCGATATACCACCGATTCTCCGCCACCATGGCTCTACGTGGGAGTCCCGAGTGTAGCCGCCACGGTCCGCGCGCCGCGTCGACCTAGCCAAGACACTGCTAATCGCGCGCCCATGCCGCGAGGGATATCCTAAATCCACGATTCGCCCGCCGTCGTCGTCGTCGTCGTTGTCGTCGTCGTCGCCGTCGCCGTCGCCGTTGCCGTCGCCGTCGCCGTCCACGTTGTCGTCTTCGCCGCGAGTACGTCGCGAGTAACCGGTCCGATTTGGGAGCTGCGGCCGAGTCACACGAGTGTACGTGCGTAAGTTAGGGTTACGTTGTACGGTTCACGCGTCGGACTTACCCCGTCGCCCTGAGGCCCGTGTCGAACCAGTGTCCTGGAGCGTGCTAGGGGATCAGTGACGTCCGAGGGGGACGAGTGCGACGGGTACGATGAGTTGGCGTTGACGTGGCCGAGCGGATCGGCTTCGTTTGAGAGAGAAAGAGACAGAGAGAGTGAACCTGCCCGACCCAAGGAATACAAGGACGATCGCGGAGAAGGGAACGTCGTGGACTCCCTTCACCGGCGGTGAAGATGAAGAGACGAGAGTCCAGGTAAAGCAAGATCGCCTCCTTACTGAGCGGGTAATGTGGAGGATGCAGGAAGGCAAGACCGTGTCGTCGTTGGGACCGGTCGTCTTGCCGCGGGAAGACGCCGACATGCGTGCCGGCCTGTCGTTACCGCCGCAGGAGAGGAGGCACGTGTTGTTGCATGTGCGGACCGGCGAGTCTTTCCCGAGGTACGACGGTGTGCGACAACCGCAGCAGCCGCAGCAGCAGCAGCAGCAGCAGCAGCAGCAATCGCCGTCGAGCTCGCCGACGATCCTGCGGAGCGTCGTCGCGACCATCGACAAGGACCAATACCACGAGATAGACTCGCAGGTCGGTCGCGAGAAGAGGTCGTCCAACGACGACGAGGAGGAAGAGCAAGACGAAGAGGAGGAGGACGAGGTGGAAGACGAGCGGAATGCCTCGTCCACCAAGAGAAACATCGTCGAGGATGAAGAGGATGATGAGGAGCAAGAGGAGGAGGAGGAGGACGACGACGAGGGTCAACAACCCTCCGAGAGACATCGCAACGGTGGCTACCACGACGACGAGGACGTCGAGGTCGACGTGTGTCGCGAGGAAGCCGACGAGAGCAACCCGAGCAGCCCGGTGGACCTGACGGCACCGTCGTCGCGGGGAGCCACCGCCGCCGAGCAGTTCGTCCATCCGTTCACCAACCGCGGGGTGCATTCGTTCAGCTGTGTGCAAAGTGCTGGCGGCCATCCGGCGGCCGGTCACGGGACACCAGTGTATATATCCGGGCACGGCGCTACCGGCTCGACCGTCATGACGGTGTGCACTTCCGGTAGCACGGCGCGCACCACCGGCACGTCCACCGGTGGTGGCATCACCACCACCGCCAGCACGGTCCAGCAAACCAATAACAAGCGGTGCCTGGCGTTCTCCGTCGAGAACATCCTCGATCCGAACAAGTTCACCGGCGGCCGCGTCATCCACAATCGCGTGCAACACCGTCGACACCGACGCGCCGGCAGCGTCCAGGAAGGTGAATAAAAAGCGAAGTCAGTCGCGATCGACAGCCGGAGCACCCAAGGGAGAGAGAAAAAGAGAGAGAGAGAGAGAGAGAGAGAGAGAGAGAGAGAGAGAGAGAGAGAGAGAGAGAAGGAAGAGGGAAGAAAACGACCGAAACAAATTTCCGCCGGCAAATTTCGCGAGCAAATGAACTAAGAATAACCGGACGCGCGCGCGTGCGACGACTTAAGCGGCGCGTTTCAGACAGGATTTAATTGCTTCGAGACGGGCACCCGGTCGCTCGTTCTCGCGACACGTTGTCCTTTCACAGGCTAAACTTAATCCCTTTGACTCCGTCCGAATGAAGAAAAGAAAATCACCCGGTTCAGTGCGAGCATACGTGTCACTCGCGATTAGACAGAAACGCGATTATTAATAATGAGAGAACGCAAATGCTTGCATTCGCTGTTGTAAAATTTTGCGCGCGACGATCCGCTCGTGCGATCAATAATCTCAATTGCTGCATAATTGCCGCATTCTAAATTTGCAATAACGCGCGAGTTGAACATTTGTGTCATCACCGCGTGGACAATCAAAGGAACCGCGTATTAAACACTGCTGCCGTCCGTCAACGACATCCATGACTCGCGTCGGATGGTGCTGTGCGATCAGCTGTTCGCCATCGGAGAGGCGAGTCGACGAGTTCTGCTGGCGAGCGATATATTTTTTCGCGTCCGGTGAGATCGCATCCGAGGGAGAGACCGGCCCCATCTCTTTCTCCCTCTCTCTCTCTCTCTCTCTCTCTCTCTCTCTCTCTCCCTCTCTCTCTCTCTCTCTCTCTCTCGCTTCTTCCTCGTTCTAATTTTAGACATTAGAAGGCGGACTTCTTCTCCGGCGATCGTGCAATTTCGGGAGCTGTCGGGCTATTTGCGTGTACGACGATACACGGAGATTCCGGCGAAAGTGACGTCGACGCAGGGGACGTGTGCGCGCGCGAGACCGTTCGAGGCTCTTCCAGAGTCTCATTAACGCGTGATCGCGAAGCGATAAGCGCTCGCGCAGCGCCGCGACGATAAACGTTAATTCGCACGGAGGAGGAGCTACCGCCGCCGAGCGCTAGCAGCAGCCGGGCTAAGTAGGTACGTAGAGGAGTTACACGCTATTAGAAGGTTTACCCGAAAGGCTATGCACGCGCGTGCCATTAAATTCTGACAGGCTGCGGAATAATTAACATCGACCGTGTACAATTAGTCTGGCGGAGAACAGCGCGTTGTGGAAACGCGCTGCTCGCGCGCACCTGCTTATTTCGAAAACGATTTGTTGGCGCGACGAACGTGTAAACAATCGAGTCGTTGTCGTCGATTTCGAGCCGGGGAAGGTGCCCTTTTCTCTTTCTTTGTCTCTCTCTCTCTCTCTCTCTCTCTCTCTCTCTCTCTTTCTCTTCATAAACGTACCTTCCGCGAGCGCGACAATGAGGAGTCGGGTCGAGGGAGGGTGGAGAATTTTATCGGTGGCGGATCGCGCAGAGTTCGGTGAGCGTTCGCCGAGCGGAGGATCCCAATTTCACAGTTGACTTTCGAATTTAATGGAGTCTGGCAGACGGGCGGACGGACGGACGAGCGAAGTGGTCCTGCGGGCCGATAAGGGACGGAAGAAGCATCCCGAAGAAGGGGTGAAGCGAGGCAGAAGCGGACGGGAGCGGCGGCGGCGGCGGCGGCGGCGGCGGCGGCGGCGGCGGCGGCGGCAGCGGCGGCGGCGGGCAGGGGAAGCGACCGGGCGGCGGCCTGTCGGAGCGTGACAAATTGCTCCGCTAATCTGCGTTAACCAGTCCTTGAACCCCGTCATCGTCGTCCCTTTATCCCGGTACGGGACACCGGCTGCTTGCGAAATCAGCGGACGCTCGTCCAGACGTCCTCTTCGTCACCGCCGCCGTCGTCGTCGTCGTCGTCGTCGTCTTTCAACGTGCGGCGAAGGAAGAGCCGACGTCTCTCCGAGGAAAGGAAGAAGGACGAGGACGGTGGAGGACGCGGAAGAGCGCGCGATGGATCGATCGTGGCCGTCGAAATCGAGATTACACGATTGTCGGCTCATCCATCTTACCGGGATGGTCGGCGCTTCCCATTAAAAGTGCATCAGACCCGAGCCAATCCGTTTCGACTACCACCGCCGCCACTGCCACCGCCGCCACTCGGGGTCTCCTCTCGCTTCCCTGCCGCCCCCGCACCGGATCCGCCGACGGAATAATATCGCCGGTTGTTATGATAATCGCGCAGCATCGCGCCGTATCGCACCGCATCGCGCCAAGCCGCCCAGAAAATTGGCTCTTCTGCATCACAATGACTTCTGTCTCTCTCCCTCTCCCTCTCTTCGTCGCTCTTTCGCGCTTACGTACGATCTCTCTGTCTTTCTCTCTCTCTCTCTCTCTCTCTCTCTCTCTCTCTCTCTCTCTCTCTCTCCCTCTCTCACGCTCTCTTTCTCTATCCCTCTCCTTCGCCACCCCGAAGCTCTCCGCGTGTCACGGCACCCACGGAAGTCACCCCTCCGTGCGTCGAGTTCACGAGCCGAGAGATCTAGGCTCTTCCGCTAGATTTCGACGAAATTTATAATTGTCCTACGTACGCCTCGCTCGGATGCGTCGGGTAGATCGCGCCGATCCGTATATCACTCTTCGCAGCTGCTGCATTTATAATCGAGAGCGAAAAGGTTCCCATGTGAAAGGCGTGATACATAATTATACTACACAAGCGGAGTTAAATATCTTCCATTTGATATAATTATAATTTTAATTGGTCCCATTATGGCTCTTGTTTTAAATTCTATTTCACAGCCCGCGCGCTACTTTACACACGTAACATCCTCCCTCCCCCCATCTCTCTCTCTCTCTCTCTCTCTCTCTCTCTCTCTCTCCCTGTCTTACTCTTTCGTGCCTGAAATTACGTCGGCCTGTTCCACGGTAATAAGCGGCTACGCGTCCCGCATTGCTATCGTTAGAATCTCCATTGAGATAAATCGCGCGCTTTCGCGATCCTCACAGTCATGGCGCCTCGGGGATTTTGTTTATTGCGTGTATCCCCCGATCGTGCCACTTGTCGTTAAACACTGTCATTGTGTTTAATGAGGAAAACCGAAATGAGATAAGTATTCTCGTGCCGGCCGCTTTTGTCGTGCAGCGCCGCGCTACCAAGTCCCCCTTGTGTACCCTTAACGTAGCCCTCAGGGACCGCGGCATACATCCCCAATCGTTCGGCCCGCGCGCGCAACCCGCTTCTGATCGTGCTTAATGAAGAAGATCTAAACGATACGAATGGCCCTGCCGCGCGAATGGTCCTACTCGCCATAAAAACGCAATGACAGAAACACTATCTGCTGTTGTTCGTTCAGCAGTGAAAGCCAATTAATTTCACGTCCTCGCGACCTACGCGACCACACGGTGTTGATGTTATGCTTCTCCCGAGGAGAAACGCTTCCGTCATCCTCCTCCACTACGTCATTCAGAGAGCATGCGCATTTCTTTGCAGACGTAGGAATGCACTCTTTTGCTTGCCCAAATTCTTTTCGAATATTTTCCATCGGCAATCAATGCGATTTAAGTCTATGCTTTACGTGTGCTACCGTGACGCTTTTTGAGCGTTTGGATTTTACACCATCATTCCATGTTGATATCGTGAGACGTCCGGCCCGCGAGGCCAGATCGTCGCGTCCTGTCTCGGCCGTACTTCGCTCTACATAATGCTTCACGATGTTTAACGATTGAACGGAAGGCACGCGATAAATAACAGTGTTTTGAGAATTTACTACAGGCGAGTCACTAATATCGTGTAAAAAATTGTAAATAGAGAAGCTCAACGGTCGAGAGAGAAAAAAGAAAATATCTCGCGCTTGTTTATATTTTTTCAAAAAGAAAGAAAATGAGATTCTTGTTTCACGAGAATGCTAACTTTCAATTCTAACAACTAACTCAAGATTTTATTCCAGAATTTAATTAGAATATCACGTCAAACAATTTATTTCATCCGGTAATTTCGTATCTTGGATAAAGATATATCACACGAATTTCAAGACGTTCATACATATAAATAAGCTTACTAGAATTTATTAGATAAAATATTTGGAAAAAAGAAATATTTATACAGCTCTAATATCTCTTTAAGTATTCGATAATCGAAGTATTTGATAAATAAGACGAATATTTGGAAAACAATCCTCTCATTGTGTTTCGGTATATTCAAGTGTATTTGTTAATGCTTGTGGAGAGTATAAATATATAAAACGCAAAACGTTACACTGAGAAAAAAGTATTTGATATATCTGTGAACGCAATTCCACGGTGAGATAATCATGTCGGAGAAAATAATTATTATAAGTAGTTTTATTCTGCTACTTTTTTTATTAAGACAACCATTATGATTGCAACCAAAGATGACAATTTCCAACGAGATTGATCACGTTTCTTTTTCTCAGTGCATAGAAAAAGATGCAAACCGAGTAAATTGCATTGATTTTGCTTAAAAGGCTAACCACTAATAAACCTAACATCATAAATCTCTGTTTTTCACTCACCCATATGTCGGGAACTCAGAAATGGCCACGTTCTGCTACAAATCTAAAACAAAAAATATATTATCTCTGATTAGAGGATTAATGACTTGGCGAGATAAATACGCGTGCGTGTTAGTCTTTAGTAAGTTAGTCTTTAGTAATTATTATAATTCAACACTACGTAACTACATCCCGATTTTCGATCGTAAAGTGTTAAATGTCAAAAGAATTATTTAAATCTACCTTCGAGCCCATTCTGCTTGGCCCGAACCAGATCCTCTGGTAACCGCATCCACCATAGCCACAATCTTCGTCAGATCTGAAACAAAAAAAGAAATTTTCTCGTTAATTATACCGATAAATCCATCAAATATTCAAGTCGACACAGTATTATCTTTTGGAGTCAATAAAAATAAAAGATGGTAATTACCCTCAAGATTCGAGGATGCTACCATTGCTGGAGACACTAATATCACGATAATCACACGCGCGAAATAATACGACACGTCTCACGCACGTTTCAATCGATCCGAAAGTGTCGTAATCACGCGCGAAGTCTACCGATCCGTTTGACCTCGCGTCAAAGACTGGTACGATCGTTTGTGTTCACTCGATAGTATTGCCGAGACCATGTGACCTCCAAGCGGCGGAACGCGCTCGACAACACCGCGTTACATGACTTGCTCTTTAATTTTATTTCACGCTCTCTGTACCGTAACTGTAACTTTTTGTATGTTATTTTGCAGCATTTAATTCTCTCTTGACGCTCTCGGACTATCGAAATGTATAATTCTTTCGCGATGACGGAGATTGAAATAACAAATTAATATCGCCGAAAACAGACGAGATAACAAGACAACACACCTTTCCTAAGACAGGAAAAATGTCGGATCGAGAGAATGGAAAGGAGAGATAAGTTAAGCAATGGGCAAAAATTCCAAATGTAGGACACACTACCATTAAAAACGAAATAGACCGGAAAGAGCCGCTGCATTCTGACACAACAGACCCGGCATCGTCGAATAATCGTGCAGGGTCCGTCGTACTTGGGGGCAAAGGGGTGTCATCGGATGCAATTCTCGATAGGACGCGGACGAATGGCGACGAAGCGGGAAGAAGGAGAAACAATATAAATTACGCAATTCAATTAGACGCAATCAATCGACGCTGGCCAGGCCAGGCCAGGCCAGGTAGTATATATTTCAATGTGGGGGACCGCGTTATACGAGAACGAACGAACGAACGAACGAACGAACGGCGGCGGTGTATAGCCGGCGAAAGAAGGCCAAAGAGAACGCGGGGGAGGCAGACAGAGAGATGGGAAAGGTAGCCGCTTGGCGGCCTGTACGACGGGGCAAGAACGATCGCGCGTTAACGAGATACAAATCCCATTACGGCGTAAACCTTCTCGATCCGTCGCCCCCTACGGACTTCCAACCCCCAGGCACTGTGCTAGGCTGCAGGCTATGGGCCACGAGCCACGCCAATTCGGATAAAGTCCCGCTGTCTCCTTCTCTTTCCCTCCGTCTCTGTCTGTCTTGCATGCTGTCTCTCTCTCTCTCTCTCTCTCCCCCTCTTGCTCTCATCATCTATCTGTCTCTCGCTCCAGCGCTCTGTCGCAGACTCCAGCGTCGACATACCGTCCTCGTCACTTTTCGTCTATCCTCTCCCTCTTTCCCGCCACTTTTCTCTTTTTCTCCCGTTCTGTCTGTCTCTCTCTTTCTCTCTCTCTCTCTCTCTCTCTCTCTCTCTCTCTCTCTCTCTCTCTCTCTCTCTCTCTCTCTCTCTCTCTCTCTCTCCCCCTCTCTCTCTCCCTCTCTCTCTCCCTCTCTCTCTCTCTCTCTCTCTCTCTCTCTCTCTCTCTCTCTCTCTCTCCCCTCTCTCTCTCTCTCTCTCTCTCTCTCTCTCTCTCTCTCTCTGTCTTTCTCTGTCGCTTACTCTCTCCCTCTCTGGTTTTATTCGGCAAGCTACCCCCACTCGCGGCATCCCAGGGGCACCCCAACCCCCACGGGTCGGAGCCAGGGAATATCTGTCCCCGGGACATCTGCGTGCTGATTGAATCTCCAATCTCCTCTCTCATTGAGCGAACGATTGGCCGTTCTTTCTCTCTTTCTCCGATTCCTGCTGCTCTCTCTCTCTCTCTCTCTCTCTATTCCTCTCTGATTCGCGTCCGGATCGTTCGCAGGCACGATCGGCGGTGGTGCCTCCGCTCGATCGGTGACCGGCCGATCGTTGGACCGCAGCTGGACTCTTTCGCGAGACGCGAACGACAGCTCGCCCGTCCTCCGTCGGGGTCGTCCTCTCGGCCAGGCGAATATCGAGTTAAGCGCACGACGAGCCCAACGAACGGCACGATTTGCGGTCATCAAGCGCGCGCGCGCGCGCCTCTTGAATTGATCATTAAACGCCGGCCAGTCGGAACCGCCGTAGCTGAGAGGCGATCGACGGTGCTAATTGCATCGACGACTCGTCGCACGCGTACGTCGACGCACCTCGCCGGTAAGAAGTTCGCGATTCGACAAGGCCGATTAAACGAGACGACAGTCTCTCTCGTCAGAGGAGCGAAATGAATCAGCGGCACCGCACGGACCGAGCGTGAAAATCACGCGGCGCGATGGGAATCGCGACACCCACGCCGCAATTTTGTCCCTCGTATAATCAATCCTCGTCACCCGACACCGACCCCGGCTATATCCGTATATTTCGACCCTCCTTCCCCCCTGCCGCCGGCGGCCGCCGACCGCCGCACGACACAAAACTGATCCCGTGGTTATTATTTTCCAGACGGTGACTCGCGGGGTGAGTTTGCCTGCAGCAGTGGCCAAGAGGATGAGGAAGGTACACCGGACACCGTCATGGAGGAGATGGAGGAAGACCCCGAGGAGGAGGACGAGGACGAAGAAATCGAGATGCGAGTGGTGGATCAGGACTCGGGCGGTATCGGCCGGGAGAACGCGAACGGCAACAGCGGCGGTGGAGGCGGCGGCGACGGCGGTGGCGGTAACGGCACCACGAGCAACTGCAAGAAACGGCAGTCCTCGTCGTCCTCCACGTCGTCGAGCGGCGTTCAAGTCCCCAACTGCCAAGGTCAAAGTCAAAACGGGCAAAACGGCACGAGCGGCGGCAGCGGGGGTGGCGGTGGTGGCGGCGGCGGCAGCGGCGGCGGTGGCGGCGGCGGCGGCGGCGGCGGCGGCGGCGGCAGCGGCGGCGGTGGCGGCAGTAACGGCGGCGGCAAGCCCAGAAGAGCGCGCACGGCGTTCACGTACGAGCAGCTGGTCAGCCTGGAGAACAAGTTCAAGACCACGAGATACCTGTCGGTGTGCGAGCGGCTGAACCTGGCGATCGAGCTGCGGCTCACCGAGACGCAGGTGAAGATCTGGTTCCAGAACCGGCGCACCAAGTGGAAAAAGCAGAACCCGGGGCTTGACGTGAACAGCCCGACGGTGCCGACCACGCCGCCGCATCCGTCGCCGTACGCACCCGCCTTCCTCTTCGCCGCGCACCCTCACCAGCACGCGCTGCCACACTCGCACACGCACCCGCACCCTCACGCCCACGTGCACCACCCGCCGCCGGTACCGCCGCCGCCGCCGCCCGGGTACTACCATCCGGCGGCGCCTTACCCGCCGACCGGCCCGACCTTCTTCGGCCATCATCTGTCAGCGAGCCCGGCGACCGCGTCGGCGGGACCGCCGACCTCGACGCCTTCTTCCACCGGCCTGGCCGGTCTCTCGTCGCACCTACACCCACACACGCACCCGCACGCGTAGCGAACTTGGCGATGATGCCCCCGCGCCGCCGTCTGCAGCGTCGTCAGCGTCTTCGCCTTCGTAGTCTTCGGCAAGGAAACGGTGAGAGCTCGTGCGAGCACTTTCGGCTCTCGAGAGAAAAGTATCGAGGGGTTAGGAGGTGGTGCGAGGAAGGACGGATGGGACAAGGGATGCGCGCGTTCGTCGCTCACCGAGTTTCCGAGGTTTCACACCCTTTGGTTTCTCGATGAGCGTCTTTTTATTTCGTTATTATTTTTCTTTCTCTTCCGACGAGAATCCGTGGAAGGAGGCGTTTGCACGATAAATCGGCCTTTTTGAAAGCAACATATATTCCTTCGAAAACGAGAAGAATCTGATCGTCTGAATTTTCTTCCGCTGCTTTATAATTAGCAGCACTCGTCGTAGTACCGAATCAATTTAAATTCTTGGGTTTATGTCGTCTTCGAAAGGCGGTTTATGCGATAATCTGTTGTCGTTATAGCGATTTGTGTTCGGAATTTAGAGATAGCGGGAGAGAGCGAGAACGACGAAGCGAGAAAAAGACGCTTAAAGCTTAATTAAGTATCTCGGATCAAATCGACGAGTAATGTTTTCGTTCGTTGGGTCATGAGCGCGTAGGCGGCCGCGATGTTATATTTTGCCTTCCCGTTGAGCACATGGGGCGACTCGATAGCATAATCGGTTTACGTAGGGTGACGTAGAAAAAGCGAGCGTATCATTTCGGCGCGACACCGCGCCAAACATTTAAATTCCGTACACCGACGTGGGATTCCGGGCAACGGTGGAAGGAACGACGCATCTCCCTAAAACAAACGCACTGGTCTCTCGATAGGAAGCAAAAGGGAAAAATCACGGAATTTGATCGAAGAAGTTTCGATCAGTTCGATCGGGCCGATTTGCAGTCTCCGCTGCTCGTTTCGCGGGCCATGCAAACATAAAGATCGAGCGAGTCAAATAGAATTCCGCAAACCATAAATTATGTCTCGCGCAGAATTGGCGAGAGCCAACTAAATGTCTTTTGTCTGATCTCAGGAGAGATGCCTCTCGATACTTCTCTCCGAGTAAAGCAAAGTCACGAAGTCACCCGAGTCCTTGTCGTTTTCTCATCTTTGTAACATATTCCGTTCGTCGCCGCGGTTAAAGCGACGAGGCAGAAACTCGTCTCTAAAGGGAAGTAGACTTTATCGAAAACGATCTTATAGCGATACAAGGTGCGTGCGTGCGTGCGTGTGTGCGTGCTATGTATGTATGTATGCTGAAGCGGGTGTATGTGTGTGTGTATGTGCGTGCGTGTGTGTTCGCGAGAATGCGTGCGAGAGGGTGAGGCGCGATTGCGAGTTGGACAAAATTAGCGAGCAATGTTTCGTGCTGATCGTGCGAAGGAAAGAAAAAAGAAAAGAAAAAAGAGAGAAAGGAACGAGGCACGTCGGAGCGCAACGATCGCGTTCCTGTGTAAAATAAAAGTCATACGTTACGCTCGTAAAAAAAGAACCTTCATCCACTGTGTACAGATCTACAAACGATCCCTCTGCGTGCACATGCAATCA